CTGGCCACCATCTCTGGACATCTGCAATTTTTTCAGCATTTAGTTTTGTTTCTTGTATGCATATAATATGAATGTCGTGTTTGTGAACCCACGATAGGAGTCTGGATTTTTTGTGGCGGTCGGATGTGTCACCTAACCCTCTAAGGTTCCAGCAGGCTATCCTAATCCTATTTGGTAGGACCATCAGAGTGGCCACTGCCGCCGAGGGGTTGGATGCGGGTACTAGGGTCAGCATGGGAGGACGTTCTTATTTTTAAAAGTCTGTCGAATGACCGCAGGCTCTGAGTGAAGTCCACAGATGCCATGTTGAGCTTGGTTTCTTTGTTATTCAACCATTCTGTCATCATGCTTGCTGGGATATTTTGGAGGATAAGTAGCTTGTCTTCTGCTCCTGAGTGTGGGGACAGAAAAAGACTTAGCTCGAGCCAGGTGAGCATTTGGGGATTGGAGATAGTCATTTCCTCCTTCAGGGGGGACAGAGTCACTACGACGAAATGCATGAGAGTTAACCCTTCTTCTCCAAGCCCTGCCACGTGTCTACCCATTTCCAGAGTGTTGCAGGGGATAGCCTCTCCCCAACCTTTGAGTATAGCTTTGTTCGTCAGGTAGATTGTCTGTTCTTCTGATGGTTGGGCTTGGACTGTAGCATAGAGGATTGCATAAGCGTCCTCCTTCTGACGCATCAGAAAAAAACGCTATCTCTGATTGGAAAGAGTTTAAGATCAGGGGTACAAATAGTTGGCTGACCTTCTTGCTCTTTCGTGATATCGTTTTGATTGGTTGAGCGAAACTTATTGCCATTTTTTTAGAGTTATTGCTCAAAGGTCTTTTCTTTTTTTCCTGAGGGGAACTTTCCTCCTTGAGACTGTCGAAATCGCTGTGCGACTATGGAATGGTCATTTAGTCATTGACTTTCAGTGAAACGGAATTCACCAGTTCGAAGTAGCTGATGCAGATCACAGGGTTCGATCCCTAGTTCCCCAACTTACCTGTGTACAATACCTGTGCCAACTCGAAGAATTGAACTTGCGACCTGTAGAACCGCCAGTGGTAAGTAGRTCTGTCGTAGGTCTATAGGTAGCCAGGATTCGATCTGTAGACCTGTAGATTAGAAGTCTAGCTGCRGTCCTTCTAGAAGGTCGGCAAGTGGTCAAGTGGTGCAGGCAAGTRGCCAAGTGGTGTRACTAAAGCAAACCCACGTTGTAGACGAGGACAAGTGGCGAGGTCAAACAGCAGGACCCCAGTGCAACTGCACTGCGTCGTAGGGTYGTCGCCATGCAGTCAAGGGAGAGTCAAGAAAGTACCAGTCCGGTYCAGCAAGTACCACGGGGGGGAMTRTGTGYACCATGGGCCASGGATACAGGGCAGACCAACGCAGCGCAGAAGTATAAATCAAGAGGYTGYGTCCAGCCATTCATTCATTCAGGCGGAAGCCATGCGGTAGCGCTGCCACAGCGTYKAGTGCAAGGAGGTCGGCTGGAGGCCCGAAGACGAAGGGGGCAAGAGTGAAGCACTGTAGTCATAGCGATAGGTAGTGGCAGCCATAGCTGCCATAGCTCAGTGTAGAGTGCARAGTGTGTGTACTGTGTGTGTGTTGGGTATGAACACTGAGTGTGCGTGTGGGACATCCAGGGTGATCCAGAGTGCGAACAGTGAGTTGTGTGGGCGCTYAGTCGCCATATCCAGTTTGAAGAGAACTCTTACCTGGTTACGATATCTTTGAGTACTGTGTGGGCGCATGTCGCCAGTTTGCTGTTTCGCTGTTTGCATGCATGACAAGTGTGAAGAAGTCGAGTTCGATTGCATCAGTTTCTTCAATGAGCCTCTTGTTGGTTTGGGAGTTGTATCATCAGTTGTAGCAACCTCTCTGATTTTTCTTGTACACTTCTTAGTCCTTTTTTTTTTCTTTTTGGGGGTTTTAACGATATTAACACTGGTCGCTAAAAATTCCAAGCTTAGCGCGTTTTCCAACCCCTTTTGTGTCTGCACTTCCTCAGTGTGCTTCCCCTGATTTGCATTATCCTTCTCTTCTTTTTGTGCCTCCCCCGAATTGGGTGGGGCCGCAGTAGAGTTGGCAGGGGTGAAGCCCATTAGGAATTCATCCATATTGTTGATTATTTCGTTGAGTTTCTCCAGTTGGGTTGAGGGCGGGAGAGGTGGGGGGTGGTTAGAGGGGGTGGGGGTTTCTTGGGGGGGGAGTGAACTATCCATGTCGAAAGAACCTTGGCTACTTGTTGCTGGACCTTCCGTGCCCCCGGCTATTGAAACTTTTTTTTCCCCATCTGGCTCTTTCCTCCCTACCCCCTCTCCTTTTGTTTCTCTCCATTCCTTAGTCTTAATGGTGGTTGAGGAGGAAGAGGCAGATGGATTAGTCGTGTCGGATACTATCGGGATCTTGGCTTTCCAGGATAGTGGTCTTTTGCCCTTGTCCCTGATGATCTTTTTCTTTTTCCATATGTTTTTTTCCTGGAGGGGACCGCTGTCTATC